TCCGGCGTCGCAGGAAATCTGTGGGAAACCCATAGGAAACCCTAGGAAACCATCGGAAACCAGACCGGAAACCTTCAGAAACCCTTAAGAAGGAACAGACTCACTTTTGAGGAGCATATCTATCTAGAATTCATGGGAAACCATAGCAGGCCATAACAAACATATGGAAAACGCAGGGAAATCACAGGAAACCGCAGGAAACGTGTGGGAAACCACAGGAAACCACAGGAAACCAGACCGGAAACCATCAGAAACCCCGTACGAGGAAGAGACTCACTTTTGAGGAGCATATCTATCTAGAAATCATGGGAAACCAAAGCAGACCACAGCAAAGGTGTGGAAAACGCTCGGAAACCTGGAGGAAACCGCAGGAAACCCATGGGAAACCCATAGGAAACCAAAGGAAACCATCGGAAACCAGACCGGAAACCATCGGAAACCCCTATGAGGGGACAGATTCACCCTTTGAGCATTTACAAAAGGTTAATGCAAAGGGAAGGGGGTGAACTGCACCGTCGACAGCACTCCACACTTCATCATCCCAGCCAATCGCAGTATTATACTTCCACTCGCACCCAAAGGGTGAACAAGTTCTTCCGGATCTGTGTTCTGGAGAGCACGCACGGCAAGACAAGAATGCTTTCACATTGCTGATGAACCTAATTGAAGTCCTTATGTAACTGAGGTCTCACGTGCAAACTTCTGTCAGCTTCGCTGTACATATATTAGTTTATACTAATATGGCTAATACACTACGATGTACAGTCATGTACAGCATTGACAGCAATGTATGTGAGTCTCCACGACAAAGGGCCAAGAAACGCTTTTCAAGTGCAAGTGTCGCGAACATCTGCTGGGGCTTGAACCAACCGCGCAGGCCCCGAAGTCATCATCACATGTGAGCAACGGCCTCCCGACAACCCTTGCACGGCTCGCCGGCCCACCACAGCCCTTGAGCCTCTCAACAACAGCCGGGCCGGCTCACTCGGCCTTACCATTCGGGCGGGACACCTGCGTGTTGCGCAGCATGTCGCCGACGACAACAAGGTCGCCAGACCTCAATGTAATGAATGTAATGAGAAAACCTTGTGAAAGCTCCAAACATTGTGGGCCCACACCTCGTTTTCCAGTTCTTCTCGATTGCCTTGGAAATATATGCCTGACGCTGGACACGTCCAATCGCCGAGCGGCCACAGCCACGGCGGCGGACTCAACGAACTGCTGCTGAAGCAAACTCAGATTCTGAAGCGCCTTCCACGGGCCCACTTCTGGGTTCGGAAATTGTCAGGATTTTGGTGACTGCTGCGCAGGGGCCTCCAGAGTTGCTGCAGCATCCTGCAGCGAATCCTGCACTTGGCAAGAACACATGCCGCAGTTTGATTTTTTGAGCCGAAGATGTGTTCAAGACAAGCATTTTGGAGTTATCCAGCTGCATCTTGCTGACCAGCTGGTAACATTGGACGGTATTCCTTGATCCGCGTCCAGATTTTTGCGATTCCGACAACGAGCTCGAAAGTGGTTCCCCGCGAACAAATGCGGCCCCAAAAATGGGGCCGTTTTCTGAACCTGCGGGAATTGTGCCAATATTAGATGGCTCCAAAAACGGGTCCGAATTCTGGACCCGTTTTTGGCCCCGCTCTTTACCCGAACTTTGCCCTTTTATTGAATTCTCAATTCACAAAGAACTTCAAAGAACGGCCGCCAACAGGTGTTGTGAAAGTCACAACTTCTCCTCTTTTTTAAGCAGCCACAACAGCGACTACAGCTTGAGCATCTTGATCTGCTGCAGATTCTGAGGCAACGACAGCACCGATATGGTGTAGCTGAGCAATGAAAATCAACAAACTACAGAAGATCTCCCGGCACTCTGGAGGCCCCTTCACAACAGCCACCACAATCCTGACAATTTCCGGACCCAGAAGTGGGCTTGTTACAAGCACTACGGAATCTGAACCTCGCCGCCTGCTTCAGAAACTTCGATTATGTCTTGGCCTGCTCCAAACGCAGTCATGACTACACGAGCCACGCAAAGCATTGCCAAGATCCGGCGTCGCAGGAAATCTGTGGGAAACCCATAGGAAACCCTAGGAAACCATCGGAAACCAGACCGGAAACCTTCAGAAACCCTTAAGAAGGAACAGACTCACTTTTGAGGAGCATATCTATCTAGAATTCATGGGAAACCATAGCAGGCCATAACAAACATATGGAAAACGCAGGGAAATCACAGGAAACCGCAGGAAACGTGTGGGAAACCCACAGGAAACCACAGGAAACCAGACCGGAAACCATCAGAAACCCCGTACGAGGAAGAGACTCACTTTTGAGGAGCATATCTATCTAGAAATCATGGGAAACCAAAGCAGACCACAGCAAAGGTGTGGAAAACGCTCGGAAACCTGGAGGAAACCGCAGGAAACCCATGGGAAACCCATAGGAAACCAAAGGAAACCATCGGAAACCAGACCGGAAACCATCGGAAACCCCTATGAGGGGACAGATTCACCCTTTGAGCATTTACAAAAGGTTAATGCAAAGGGAAGGGGGTGAACTGCACCGTCGACAGCACTCCACACTTCATCATCCCAGCCAATCGCAGTATTATACTTCCACTCGCACCCAAAGGGTGAACAAGTTCTTCCGGATCTGTGTTCTGGAGAGCACGCACGGCAAGACAAGAATGCTTTCACATTGCTGATGAACCTAATTGAAGTCCTTATGTAACTGAGGTCTCACGTGCAAACTTCTGTCAGCTTCGCTGTACATATATTAGTTTATACTAATATGGCTAATACACTACGATGTACAGTCATGTACAGCATTGACAGCAATGTATGTGAGTCTCCACGACAAAGGGCCAAGAAACGCTTTTCAAGTGCAAGTGTCGCGAACATCTGCTGGGGCTTGAACCAACCGCGCAGGCCCCGAAGTCATCATCACATGTGAGCAACGGCCTCCCGACAACCCTTGCACGGCTCGCCGGCGCACCACAGCCCTTGAGCCTCTCAACAACAGCCGGGGGCCGGCTCACTCGGCCTTACCATTCGGGCGGGACACCTGCGTGTTGCGCAGCATGTCGCCGACACAACAAGGTCGCCAGACCTCAATGTAATGAATGTAATGAGAAAACCTTGTGAAAGCTCCAAACATTGTGGGCCCACACCTCGTTTTCCAGTTCTTCTCGATTGCCTTGGAAATATATGCCTGACGCTGGACACGTCCATCGCCGAGCGGCCACAGCCACGGCGGCGGACTCAACGAACTGCTGCTGAAGCAAACTCAGATTCTGAAGCGCCTTCCACGGGCCCACTTCTGGGTTCGGAAATTGTCAGGATTTTTGGTGACTGCTGCGCAGGGGCCTCCAGAGTATTCCGGAATAGCGAACAGCAGTGGGTGGGTGGACGGGATTCCATCTTGATGTGGCAGTTACACAGCTGAGAGAGGCTGCGCCCGTCATTGACCTATTCGAGCCTACGCCCGCCCATTTCAATTTTTTCGTTGGCAGGATCGTTGCCAAGCTCGGCGAACGCCATCTTCGTGGTCTTACGGCCGTCAGAGACCTGGCAGACTGTGTCGCGAACTATTCTCCACTCCCCTACCCGAGGTCAGCTGAATTTCCGCAAGGACGCTGTTCTCTCGTCGCTGGAATCAGCGGCCGTCGGCATCTTCAGCAAGGTGGTCTTTTCCTTAATGAGCCTGCCAAGCGCGTTCTCGCGCGAAAAGACACCGCCAAACTTTCCTGCTTGCCAATCACGATCGCGTTACCTGGCACTGTCCTGAGTCCTGACACTCGTACCAACCCACGCAATGGGCTGTACTTCCTCCTGGAGGCGGTTGAGAGCCTTGTCGCGCTCAGATTTGTCGAACGGAATTGTATGGCTGCATGATACCTCAAAAAGGCACCTGCTGATCTAGCTATGGTAAAGCAAGGTGTAGAATCGCGAAAACTCCCGGCAGATCCTGCCTCTTTTTTGAGGTTGAGGATCTTGTCAGAGCCCATAGTCTTGCTGATGCACATGCCTCATTTGTCCGTAACCTTTTTACTGGCACGTTTCCGCCTCCGCGAACGCTTCCGCACGCGACGTGCTGCGAGGGCCGCACTCTCGACACATCACAATGAGCATCGCATGCAGACGGCACCGCAAGCGGATCTTGCCAACAGGACAATCGTGAGAACAAACGACATTGCAAAAGCATCGAGGCGCCCACATGGTGCCACTCTGCCGGAAGGCCCTCGACGGTCTTTTTCTCCTGTCCCGTGCAGGCAGCTTGCACGTGCGGGCAGCCTACCTCGGGCGCGAGCAGTAAGCCTCTTTTATAGCACCCTTCCTAGCTTTCTTGCGCGGCAGGATTGGCATGGCCTTTTCTACTCGTCGCTTGGAGACAAGGGCGACTTGCTCCCCATTCTGGCTATGCAGAAGGGAGGATGGAGATACCGAGCAGCCCGCGTCTTCATGCTGTCGTGAGCAGACCGTCTTTCCATGCCGCAATAGCTTAGGCGGTGTCTCATTCGAGGCTACCGCGCCTGACAGATTATGCTACACACAGGCTACACTCTTTTGCAGTTGCCCCCCATACGGTGCTGCAAGGTTTTCGAGCAATATCTCGCCCGTGCTGTTGTGATGTCAGCTCTGTGTGCCCTCCTTACTGTGGTGCTCGCTGGCTGCCCCGGAGGAAAGCTGACCTGTACCGTGCACAGTTATGCTGGAACCACAAGATTGTCTCCTCGCTCATGATGCCTGGATGCCACATTCGCGGCGATCCCGGAGGGCACTCCACCGTGATGACCCGGCAACGCTGCGCGGGGCTTTATCGCGTCTGCAGCTCAGGGCAGCCCATTTGCCGACACAAATTCGACCAGCGGCCGTCATCGACTCTTATACCTACGTTGGTCATACCGCAGACCCTGAGCCCGACAGTTGGGAGCAAGGCCAGGGTCTTTGCGAACATGCTCGGAGTCCCTCTCGAGGAGGTCCATCGCTTCAGCTGAAGTGGGCAAGATGTTGAGAGCCTTCTTGGGTTTGCCTGAGGAGGTCACCGATCCTTCGGCCCCCAGGGTCACTGCATACTCGCTGCGAGGCACTTGCTTGGGCTGGGGAGGTAAGTTCGGGTTCGACGAGGACCTGAAAAGCATCTTGGGGAGGCATGCTTCCTCAGTCAAGACAACGCAAGCCATCTACAGCAGAGAGCTGTCGGCGGCGCCGGTGAGGCGGCTTCAGGACATGATTAGGGAGGTTGCAGCGGGGAACTTTTTCCCTGATAACAGCCGCTCGAGTTACTTCCCGAGGCGAGCCGCTAGTGATGGGGCGTCCCCGTCCAAAGGAGCTGAGAAGCCCGACCCTGTCAAAGTTGAGGTGGTCAGCAGCGACGATTCCGAGGCAGGGAACTCTGTGTCTTCAGACAATGAGTGCAGCGACTCTTCCCAGTCATCGCAGTCCTCCTCCTCGTCATCTGCGAGCGAGGCGGTCCAGCCTGCTGTTCGCAGGTGGAAGCGAGCTAAAGTCGAGGTGCCAGACCAGGTGTGGTATGTGAACACTTCGAGTGGGGTCTTGCATCTGCTAGCTAGCCCCGATGATGTTCCGATGCTGCTCGCATGTGGGCGGCCCGTAAGTGGGAACTATCGTGAAGCGACGAGAGCCGAAGTCAGTCGTGGCAAAGAGTGTCGGACCTGCCGGCGCAATGTATAATGGCCCGCGCAAAGCGCGCTTTTGGGCGAAACGATGGATGTATCATGTGCTAGAAAGAAAGCAGGGAGCGAGGTGCTCGTAGCGAAGTGCTTTGTGAGTGTGTCGAGGTTTGCACATGACATGTGAGATTCTTAGCTACTTGCTTGATTGCGCTTGAGTGTGTTCGTCTTGAGACTGTGGGCTCAACATGACGTCTCTTGTAGAGAGTTCGCATCACTTTAAGTCGCGATGTACCGAGGTGGGCCTCAGTCGCGAAAGCCTCAGGGCACTCGCGGACCATGGGATCGATACTTTGAGCAAGCTGGCTTACTCTTGCGGTCAACCGAGCACTCCTTTGCCTCAATCTGAGTTTGATGACTTCATTTCCACAGTAATGCCGGCGGCACTCTTGGGTGAGAAAGGAAGCGTGAAGCGACTTCTTTTCGAGAGTCAGGCACTCTTGCTTAATGACCTCAGGGAACAGGTGACCCAGCCCGATAAGTGGTCTACACGTGACGTCCCGACAGTTGAGCGTCAGAAGAGGATGGAAGCAGTGCGTGCCAGCATACCGGGTGTTGTGCTTGAGGGGTCATTGGAGCCCTCCCACGGGCTCTTGAATGCAGCTTGTCGAATGGAAAGAGAGGGGCAGCTTCGCTGCATAGCCCCCGAGCAGTGTGGCACTCGCATGTATGAGATTCAGAATGTCAAGGCCCAGAGTAAAGTCCTGTCTTTGGAGGAGGGCAAGTTGGCGATTTCTGAGGAGAAAGGGTTGCCCGAAGTTGCCTGCGGGTCAGCTTTGTTATTGCAGGAGGCTCTGAAGCGCCGAGGTGTGGCTCTCCAGTTCGCCGGTGTCGCCAGCTATGTGGCTCATGAACGTTATGTGCTCAAACTCTTTGGGCATATGGGGCGAGAGCCCCCTCCAGGCTATGCCAGGACCAGTGTGCACCAACTCCTTACGGCAGACAGGCAGGTTTGGACGCGAATGATCGAAAACGAGATCAGTCCGAAGAGGAGTGCAGATGGGACGTACCCTGTCGATCGGGCTTTGCTCCCCACACTTGAGACATTCGATGTTACTGTAGCTCTCCTTCCGCGAAAGTCAGAGGAAAGCAAGAAGAGGGTCGCCACGCCACATAAGCCCGGGGTTGAGAGGGATCCCAAAATCACGAAGCCCACCAAGGGCAAAGGGAAGGGCAAGAAGGGCACTTGGCAGCCCAGTGTGCCAGAGGCCATCCGTAAGCTGGGTGGAGTTGCCGAGACTCCTGATAAGAAGCGCATTTGTTTCTCCAGGAATCTGCCATGCGGCTGCACTCAGGATCCGTGCCCCAAAGGCTTGCATGTCTGTGCATTGTGCTTTGCGCCTGACCATGGTCTTCAGGAGTGTCCGAAGAGAAAGAAGTGACCGCCGAAAGGTGTTCCGGAAGGTTTTGTACCGACCGATGACAGTGGGGCCGCTGTTACATCAGTCACATCGACCTCAGCTGGAGGTCAGGATTCACCGATGCCAGATTCCATTCAGCTTGATTCGCCGGGGACAATATCCGTTAAGCCGGCGCACCCAGCTGAGCAGTTTTGTTCACATCTTCGGGAAGGAAAGCTTGCCGATGTTTTGCAATTGATCACCCTGCTTGAGAGTGAGACCCCAGCGAGGGGTCAAGAGGCACCAAACACTTTCTCCTGGACTTCAGGAGCATATGCCAAAGGACCGCTCAAAGGCGTCAGGAAACACACCTCAGATTTCCCAGCTTGTACGCGCTTGTTGTGTAAGCTTCTGCTGCAAACTTTTCCAGATGCCGACTTCAATGCTGTTGCGATTTATAAAAACCTTCAGACTGCCTTGCATGTCGATGTAAATAATGAGATGGGGTCGCAAAACTACTTGATTCCGATCACCGCATTCCAAGGAGGAGAGGTCTGGCAAAAAGGGCCTGGCAACGACATCGTGCAGGACGAGCTAGGGTTTAGCCTCTCTGGGTCCTTAGTTCGGGTTGCCGATGGGCCGTGTACCCTAAACCCCCGTGAAACCCACTGCACCATGCCTTGGACTGGCGACCGGGTGCTGCTTGTCGCCTTCAAGCCTAATCACGCTGCAAGCTTGTCTACGGAGTACCGCCGACGCCTGCTGGAAGCAGGGTTTCCAGAAAGTGCATTCGATTCAGCGTCGTGCTCTCAGGGCCGCGACTCTACCCGCCCGCGGGGTGTGGTCCCAGCCCACTTGGATGAACTGCCTTCTAAGCCCAGCGATAATTCTGCTTGCATCCCCGATGCCGTCCTTGACCCTGTAACCTGGTGCGACCCCTTAGTCATTGAATTGTTTTCGGGGTCCGCTCGGGTGACTGCCTGTCTCAAGCAGTTGGGACTATCAGCCGTCGGGGTAGATGCTGACAAGCGCAGGGCCATCTCAACCTGCCTACAGGCCGATCTGGCCACGCCCACAGGACAGGAGTTGTGCATGGAGTGGCTGTCTTCGCCTAGATTAGCCGGCCTCTTTGTGACTCCGCCTGCTCACTTGACCGGTGCTATGGGTCAGTTCTTGGCAGCAGCCTTGCTACATGTCCTCGGCCGAGGGGCGGTCTGCGTTTTGGCCCAGCCGGGTGATGGGACGTTTTGGACATCTGACTGCTGGAGCAAGGTCTCCTCCAATTTTACTTTTGTGTCCTGCCACGAATGCGCATATGAGGGCAACCACTTGAGTACAACCATTTTCGCTGTCACCGATCGTTCATTTTCGAAGCTTGCTAGGTTTTGCCCGGGCAGCCCGTGCCGACAGGAGCGTATGTCCGAATGCAAATTGCATGGCGCCTACCCCGTGCGTCTGGCCATGCAGGTGGCTTGCTGTTTTGCTCAGCACTTCGTGCGAAAGGGCTGGCGATCGCCCCCACAATCTTTTGATGCTTTCGATCCTCGCTTGGAGGTTCCTATGTCCCGTGCTTTGGCTGGTGCCCAGCCTTGTGCCAGCAAGATACCGCCACTAGTTAGTGAGCATCAGCGGGTCATAGTCTTGCAGCACCCTCCGGGGCTCGTGCTTCCCTGTCAGCCAATGCAACGACTCAGCAAGCCGTGGCCCGTGCCGCCACAGTGTGGTGCCACCCTGGCACACATCCCGGCAAAAGCTCAGCTGCTCCGGCACGTGCCAATAGTCCAAGATGGGGTGAAAGAACTGGTGAAAGTTGATTCCTGGGAAATGGCTTGGGGGTTACCCTGGAAGCCTGAGGAGTTCATGCGGAAGGCGTCCGAATCATGTCACTCAAGGTCGATGGGCTCTGTGCTCCCGGCCCCCTTGAATGATACTCTTGAATCCTTGGACAAGTTGGGAGACGCCGAAGTCTCCGCTTTGAGGGCTAGGGTAATCAAGGAGTGGTTGCACTTGGCGACTTCGTTGTCGTCCAATGAAGCGGAGCTGAAGGCCAGCATGCACCCTGATGTTCGTGAGATTACAGCATCCAAACGCATCCTTTTGTGGGAAGCTTTGCTTAAGAAATACGAATACCCAGACCTGTGTGTGTCGAGCCTTCTCAAGGAAGGCGTCCCGTTAGTGGGGCATGCGCCATTTTCGGGAGTCTTTAAACCAAAGTTCAAGCCGTCACTGACGCCTCTGTCGACGCAGAGCACCCTGTCGTCGCAAAAGTAACGAAATCGTCGAAGAACGACGACCAAGGCAAGAGCAATGCCTTTGCACCTAGGAACCACAAGGAATGACTAATCCTAAGGAAAGCGTAGACTGCCGTTGCCGATCCGAAGGGCATGGCTTTCATCCTAAAGTACACCCGCTCATTCGTGTCTGGATGCACGAAGCAGATGTACGCTGCCCAGGCCGTGTCTGGGTGGACTGGCATCTGCCGGTAAGCTGCAGTAAGATCGAACGCCTTGCCTAAGATTTTGAACAAAACTTTGCCTGCCCTCTTTTTGATGGATTTCAGCAGCCGAAGACACGTGGATGCAACCACATCAGTAGATTGAGGTTGTGGAGCCTCATAGGCCTGCACCGCGAGGTTCACCCCCGACGAAGTCAAATTGTCAATGCACCTGACCTTCTGACCTTGCTGGATTCCAAACCGACGGCTAACCAAGATCCCATCGCACAAGCTGGACTCGCACATGGGACCAACGATCCATCCTGCTTCTCGCTCCTTCTCAGTCTTGGTGCAAACTTCGGCTGCCAAGGCGGGATCCTGGGCCTTAAGGGAATTTTTAACCTTTTCCCGAAAAACTTTTGAATCCTCCCTTACCTGCTTCGGCGTGGCTTGCATGGGCAATGTTCAAACTCCTAGGTTGGGCGTTTGCCGAGTCAGGTGAAAAATCGAATGACTTTGCTGAGTGTTTCCAGGCGCTTGGTATCATGGTCGATTTGCGTGCATGCCTTGATGGCACCATAAGCTTCAAGAACACTGCAAAGCGGGTTTCCGAGATCAAGGCGTTCGTGGGCAAGGTGCTTGAGTCAGGTAGGTTGCCGCATCACGAGGCACTCAGGCTCAGAGGTAGGTGCCAGTTTGCCGACTCGCAAATCTTCGGTCGTACTGGAAAGAAGTGTCTGGGGTTGATCACCGCACATGCTTACGGCTTTGACGAGGTCATCAGTCGTGAACTCAGGATCTCTCTCGAGAGGTTCTTGCTTCGTCTCGAGGACGGGGCCCCGCGTCTGATCAAGATCCTTGAGCGAGGATCGTGGCATGTGTACACAGATGCTTCGTATGAACCAGGGGCAGGAAATAGTTTCTGCGGCCTAGGTGGGGTTTTAGTGGATCCTAATGGGTTACCTCGAAAATTGTTTTCTTTCGTTTTGAGCGAAGCACAGAAAAATTTTCTTGGTGAGCAGAATTCTGCCCAGATCATATTCCAGGCGGAGATGCTAGCAATGGCTGTGGCGCTAGACGTTTGATTGGAGGACTTGACGGGGCACACGGCAATCTTCTTTGTGGATAATAACGGTGTGCGTGATGCAGCTATCTCTGCAAATGCCCGAGCATCAGTCGCGAGGAGACTTCTTGAGGCGTTTCTTCAGAAAGAGCATAGCTCAGCGATCATTCCTTGGTTCGCCAGGGTACCATCCCCTTCGAACCCGGCGGACGAACCGTCCCGGGTGGAGTGCGACAGCTTGAACTTGTTGGGGGTACAACTCCTCAGGTCGAATGTCTCTCGGAAAGTGGACAACTGCTTGAAGGACGTTCAGGGTCTAAAGTAATAGGACTAAGTTGGGGGTGAATGCTAGCAGGGCCCCTCGCTGAGGGCTGCAACTCGCTGCTGTAGTTAGGTATAGTCTTGTGCCAAAGGGCATGCGCCGTGGATACGAGATGTGCCGACCGGCACTCGCAGATCGTTTACTCCCAAAGTCACCGAAGGAAAAAGTCCGACGTTCATCAGTGCATCAGTGTGCCGTTTCGCTTAACCTCGCAGCTCTGTTCGGTGTTCCTAAACCTTTCAGCTTACTGTGCGACTCAAGTTTTGCGACCTTTAACTTTTGCAGCTGTTTGGTCCAAGTCGTTCGGCTCAAGAGAACCACACAGTCTCGCTCCGAGATAGTGGATTCTCTTGAGCCCGGACGAAGGCCCTCGTGTGGGCCGCCTTGGACCATTTTCGAAAAGAACATGCTTTACTATTTTGCATTTTCTTCGTATGCCCATTTTCTTGGTTTCGCCGAGCGACATGCATTTCCTTCCGTCTGCAGTGTGCGAATCACTCTCTTGATGATTGCAGTGCGATTGCTCAAGCTGAGCAAAAATTTTGTCCCGCCCACCCGCCCGGGGGTGAATGCTAGCAGGGCCCCTCGCTGAGGGCTGCAACTCCCTGCTGTAGTTAGGTATAGTCTTGTGCCAAAGGGCATGCGCCGTGGATACGAGATGTGCCGACCGGCACTCGCAGATCGTTTACTCCCAAAGTCACCGAAGGAAAAAGTCCGACGTTCATCAGTGCATCAGTGTGCCGTTTCGCTTAACCTCGCAGCTCTGTTCGGTGTTCCTAAACCTTTCAGCTTACTGTGCGACTCAAGTTTTGCGACCTTTAACTTTTGCAGCTGTTTGGTCCAAGTCGTTCGGCTCAAGAGAACCCTTAGTCTTCTTCTTAACAACCTTGGAGCCCTTAGTCGAAATCGCCTCGGAATTGCTCAAGGCTGGAAGTTCTGAAGCCCCTTTGGTACCATCAGGAAAAACACCTACTTGGAATCCCCCTACCGGCTCAGCAGCAGTCATGTCAGCAATCTCAACCTTGCCGTCGACATGAAGTCGCACCAAAGCTTGACTGGCGAAATCGGTGTGCACCGTGAACTTGCCCTTGCCGACGCCCTCTGAGCTCGAGCCCTTCATCTTGTCCTGGATCGTGCCTTCGTCCTCCTCAAGATCCACGATCTCGACGTCGTCCTTCGCGACCTCCACGATCATGCAGTCCTGCTCGACCTGGCCAAATGCATCCATGATCATAGCTCGTTCGTACTTACTAGCACGTGAAGGAGCAGACTGCTCACTGGTGACGGATTTGGCGGATAACGAGGGCTGGCCATTATTGATCGAGCTGCTAGTGTCCGGGCTTTTGCGGGAGCACTCAATCAACCTCTTGATCCCATCGGGCATCCGCGACCCGTCTTTCATGTTTCTCCGTCTTTTGTTCACGTAACTCATGAGATTGAGAATCCCCTGCGACTGATTCCGCAAGCTCCTGGCACTCGTGTCCTCGGCATCGAGGAGCCTGTGGCCGTGGTGCTCGTCGAATCGGGACATGACCTTTTGCACCTTTGGCAGCAGCGACTTGCTGATCAAGACGAGCTCTGTGAGGAGATCCTCAAAGTTGAGGCAGGCGAGTTCAAGGTTTTGGCTCGCATGCCAAAAGAGGCCCTCATGCTGATCGATGGCACGCATGATCGCCGGACTAGGACACTTCTTGCACATGGCAAGATAAATGCTTTCCGCCATGGCCATGGCTATATACGCTGGGCGGGCTACAGCAAAATGAGCTCGATCACGCAGCTATAGACGGACATATCGATCACATGCATACAAAACATGCATGATCCGCAGCCACGGCCTGTCTTAAGGAGCAGTGCATGCATGCATCGAGCTTGGATTCAAACCAATAGAAAGATCTATGTATACGAAAAACATGAAATATATTTGTATATATGTACATATATATATATATATATATTAGATGGGGCCCCGGCCCACTAATAGTTCAAAAATAGGTTTATTATCAAACAGACAGGCCAAAAGTAGCACAAGGAAATCTGATCTCATTCGGTTTTCCAGGGCCAGGCCGTGTTTTGAATCCAAATATGTTTGGCATAGTTTGGCGATGAGGGCTGTGAGATGGGGTCGGACCGGCGAAGAGGTTGGGAGGAGCTATCTGCAACTTGCCAGCGAAGAGGTTTGGAACCACGGTTTCGTTACCATCGCAACCTGGGCCCGGAGACCTTCTTTCAGACGGCCTGGACGCGGGGACTGGACTGGCCCGACCGCCAGAGAGACAGAGCAAAACTAGCACCAGAAAAGCACAAAAAAAAAGCACAATCGGACCGCGTCGAGCACAAGAAAAGCACAACAGACAGAGACAATTTTGCACCAGAACTGCCGCGCGCCAATGTGTTTTGAAATCATGGAGCACAAAAAAAAGCACAAACATACAAACACGTTTGGTTTTTGGAGCACAAGAAAAGCACAAAAAAAAGCACAATCGGATCGTTTCGAGCACAAGAAAAGCACAACAGCCGGAGCGTTTCGAGCACAAGAAAAGCACAAAAAAAAAGCACAAACATACAAACACGTTTGGTTTTTGGAGCACAAGAAAAGCACAAAAAAAAAGCACAATCGGAGCGTTTCGAGCACAAGAAAAGCACAACAGCCGGAGCGTTTCGAGCACAAGAAAAGCACAAAAAAAAAGCACAAACATACAAACACGTTTGGTTTTTGGAGCACAAGAAAAGCACAAAAAAAAAGCACAATCGGATCGTTTCGAGCACAAGAAAAGCACAACAGCCGGAGCGTTTCGAGCACAAGAAAAGCACAAAAAAAAAGCACAAACATACAAACACGTTTGGTTTTCGGAGCACAAGAAAAGCACAAAAAAAAACACAATCGGAGCGTTTCGAGCACAAGAAAAGCACAAAAAAAAAAGCACAAACATGCAAACACGTTTGCGGAAACGAGCCCGGAGGCCTGCCTAGATTGCAGAAAGAGTACAGACAGAGCACAAGAAAAGCACAACAGCCGGAGCGTTTCGAGCACAAGAAAAGCACAAAAAAAAAGCACAAACATACAAACACGTTTGGTTTTTGGAGCACAAGAAAAGCACAAAAAAAAAAGCACAATCGGATCGTTTCGAGCACAAGAAAAGCACAACAGCCGGAGCGTTTCGAGCACAAGAAAAGCACAAAAAAAAGCACAAACATACAAACACGTTTGGTTTTTGGAGCACAAGAAAAGCACAACAAAAAAAGCACAATCGGAGCGTTTCGAGCACAAGAAAAGCACAACAGCCGGAGCGTTTCGAGCACAAGAAAAGCACAAAAAAAAAGCACAAACATACAAACACGTTTGGTTTTTGGAGCACAAGAAAAGCACAAAAAAAAACACAATCGGAGCGTTTCGAGCACAAGAAAAGCACAACAGCCGGAGCGTTTCGAGCACAAGAAAAGCACAAAAAAAAAGCACAAACATACAAACACGTTTGGTTTTTGGAGCACAAGAAAAGCACAAAAAAAAAAGCACAATCGGATCGTTTCGAGCACAAGAAAAGCACAACAGAAAAGAGGTTTCTGTGATCGAAATGTCGCGCCCGGGTACGCCTCTCAGTACTAAACTTGGTCGAAGAGGCCAGACCCCGGCCCGGCCTCAGCCCGCCCGTCCGTTCAGCTTTCCAGCCCAGCCCCCTCAGCCCCCCCCAGCACCCCCAGCCCCCCCCGCCCCGCCCCCCCTAGTCGCGCAGAGGCATTGCAGCTCCTGATGTTTGCTCAAGATCGAATCCGAGAAAACAACAGGGGTGTGACTGTGTTTGCAACTCATGGGGTGGCAGTTTACTTGTTGTCTCAGTCTTGCGTTTTCCATTCATGCGAGCATGATCACAAACGAGTCAACATTTCAGCATTTCCCTGGTGCTTCATCTTGTGCTTCTGTTTCTGCCCACTATTAGTGAGGCGGGGCCGCACACAATATATATATATATATATATAAATTTATGTATATATGATGCATGCATATATATATATAGTAATTATTAGTATTGAAAAACTAAGTTGAAAGTAAATAAAAATGGTACACACATATATGTATATATATATATACATATACATATACATATATCTCTAAATAAATAAATATAAATATATATATATATATATGTATATGTATATTCGTACTTAACTGCTTTATATACGACCAAATACAAGAGGCAAATGGATAATAGCTGGCGATGCAACCCCCGCTGATAGCTGGATTTGGCCGCTTCCGGCTGGCATTGTGCAATTGCCCGCTGATAGGGCTAGCAGCTTCAAAATCGACGGTGCTAAACCCTATCATGCTCTGTTAAAACCTATCAGCCGCTGAGAGCCCAGTTTATAACACCAAAGACATGCTATCAGCCGCTGATATATCTAGCAGCTTCATAACCGGCGCTTCCAGATGGTCTGGGGAGAGGTAGAGGTAGAGATAAAGATAGAGATAGAGATGCGGACAAAGGTAGAGGTTGAGGTTGAGGTAGAGGTCGAGGTAGAGGTATTATATATGGTGGTCGAGGCAGAGATAGCAGTGAAATCCATTGATTTCAGTGTGTTTTTCTTTTGAGTATATGGAAAACTTGCATAGATTTTATGGAAAATCAGTAGAATGGAGGTTCTCTATTGATTTTGAAGCGGATGTTTCTATTGATTTCTATGTCTGGGTTCTATTGATCTTGAGGATTTCCATTTCTGTTGAAAAACATGCTGTTCAATTGATTTAAATCGACCAAAGCAAAATGCTGAGACATATCAATAGCGCTTGTTTTTTTTCAATCGGCGGTCTTTGGGGTGAACGTCCTGGAACATGTGCAAAAGACTTCCATGCAGATGACAGCGTGTCCTATTTTTTCTCTGTGGGTCGGGTGAGACTGAAGTTTGTCAGTTGTCAGCGCCATGTCCACTATGTTGTTTTGCGGGCTTCCCAACGCACTTTGAACCATGTGCAGCGTCTCAGCAAATCTTTCGGAAGCAAATCTTTCGGAACGTCGATTGGGAAAGTTTGCGGTGCAGTGTGGTTTACTGTATCAGTCGCAGTTTCTGTGCACGGGCTCAACAAAACAAGGTTTCTGTTTGCTTCTCTGCAACCCGTCCTCATGCTGAGAAGCTTCGTAACTAACCTGTGGGTCAACTGTGGATCCACGGGTGCAACCCGCAAGACAGCTGATGCTCATGATGCTGGGTTTCTATCCTTCCCTCCAGGCAGCTAATGCTCATGCTGCATGCCCTCCGAAAGACAGCTGATGCTCCTGGTGCTGGATCTTTGCCCCCCAATGCAAATCCTAACTGCCTCTCCACATCCACTCTTCGACATTTTATACACTGTTCCGCATGCAGTCAAGCTCGCGTCCTGTCATCCATGGCTTGATTCGAAAACATTGCTACTTGCAGTTCCGGTTCGTCCTAGAAGAGACTTTGCAATTTGCACTTCCCCAACAGCTCGACCCAAAAGAACACGTCCCAACTCGCCATTCCCCAATAGCTTGACCCATCCCAGTTTTTTAGAATTTGAAGCCAATACCTTTTCGACAAACCGGATCTTGAGATTTATAGTCCCTAGTATTTTGCCGCCAACAACAAATGTCGTCATTCACATGCGGTGCCTACGCATGCGACTCAAATTTTCGTGATGCTTAACTTGATTTTCCTGGATGGCTGACCAGCAACTTTGTGTTCTTAGCCAAAGTTGTTCGGATGCTTCACCATCGTCGTTAAGAGCTTGCATTTTTGATAAGATAGGTTTTGACGTCAAACCAAAAATAATGGGGGGGGAAACTGTGCATAACGAAAAAATGACCATGAGCCGGTTCTGTTTTGCAATCAACCGTTTTCGTAGGTTCCAACGAAAGTTTGAAGACAAACACGTGAGCACTTGAACCAAACTCCCCCTACAGTTCATGATCTGTTTTGACTGAAACCAGGTTGATCAGCCGCAGCATTCACATGCAATCGTGTTCATAAACTTTCTTGATATTTGTAAAGCATTGAAAGCAGAAGGATGCAGCAGTGAGTGGTGGAATTTGCGCGTAATGTGACGAAGTAGCTTGCTCGGGAAATTCGTTAAACGACATCTACTTCCGTGTTGGACGACGGCAGTGCCAGTTTTGTCACATGACCATACGTCGAAACATTCAATGTGGAACAGGTTCGATGGTGGGATTTTCGGTTCAAGCAAGAGTCATCTCATTTTTGTCGTGATGTCTGCGAAGAGAAGGGGCCAAGAGGTGTTCTGAGTGTGGCATGGCAAGTCGACCACATGAAGCGAAAGAGCGGCATCATGTATTCGCAGGTGAAGATGGCCCGGCGGTCAGGGTGGCCCGGTGTGGGTCTGGTCAAACACTTGGGCTGATGTGATAAATGCAATCATCCCATGCCCATGTTTTTCAGTGCCACAGCACCTCCAAGGCCATCCCGCTGCTGCTGACACTTCAGTCCACACTTCCTTCCATTCCTTGGGGAAGGTGCAGGGGAGGGGTGGGCTACGGCAACGGTTAGCCAGCAGCTCCTGAGATGATCCTGGACAGGTCATTGGTTAGCTTGCCGGAAGCTGTCAAGAAGGCATTGCAGCCACGAGCAGTCCCACTAACAGACATCGGCTTGGATGTCCAGGTGTCTGCCTCGGCAGTGCATGCTGTGCTGCCCGAAGCGGAGTTGCTTGGGCACGGCCCCCGGACGGAACTTCTGGTTTTGGTGGTTCAGCATCGGTCAGTGTAAACATGCAGACAAGGACATGGGAGACAGTAGCCAAAGTAACTTTAATGTCGCTTGTGCAGGAAGCCTCATCTGATCGGGTTCTATGCGGAGCAGTCGATGGAGGAAGTCTTCTCTGACTGTGCTGCATCAAAAGCAGATCTGATTGGTAGCTAAATGCGCTCGTGGTAGGCGAAGCGAATGCGATTCTTGGGTGATTTGCTCGAGAAGGACGACCCCTGAATTAGTTGGTTAGCAACTCTTGACAGCTCGCTTAGCACTCGAAAGGCTTTCCCCACATGTTGTATGCCAAAGGAGCTACCAGGCACAAAGATCGTTTGGCTGGAGGCACGGGTCTGACTTAGGTTTACCTTGTTTGTTCTTTCTTAGTCTTGGTCATGCTGGCCAACTTTGCAATGTTTCGCAGTTTGTCGGATGGCACGAGGGATTTTTACGATGTGACTGGCAGTTCGTGTTGCTTCCGTGGCTTCAAGCACTTGGGCTTCCAAAGATGGTTGCGATCACGTTGCAGCCTTTGTCTCTTTGGCTGTTCTTTTCCAGGCGTGGGATAACCCACTCAATGAGAGGCTTCGGGCAACGATCGACTTGAGGATGCGTCGAGATGCCAAGATAAGCCAGTGATGACGTCACGCGTTCGTGCCCGCAGGAACCAGTGTGGCGGCGTACCATATCTCTTCAACCGCAAGACCGGGAAGGCATGGAGAGCTGCACTATGTAATGCTTCCAGGACTGAAGTTGGTGGCCGTTCTGCATCACCTAAGAGAAAAGCTATGACAACTCAGATGAGTCACTTCGTTGCTGCTAGCCAGGTCCTGTGTGGAGTTGTGGCATACGACAAGCTGAGAGCATGGGCCCAGGCAAGCTTACCGTGCAGATTCATGTAAGCTGCCAAGCCGTGTAACAGTCAGCAAAGCATTGCGGGGGGAATCGCAACCTGCTGCAGGGGTTGGGCGGCGATGCGAGGATCTACCGAGACCTTGGTGAGTGATTGTTTTCTTTCTTTCAACTGCAGTCCGTCGCTCTATAGAGGCTTATGCCCGCGTGATCTGGTCTGGCCGTTGTAGGCCCTAGAAAACATGCTGCCACGTTTGACAAGACCTTGGAGTGCTCCGAGATCTTTGGCAGCTATGCGTTTCACCAGCCGCATGGCGTGCAATGAGCTGCAGACATGACCTTGAGTTGGCGTTCCACTGGATCGGGTATGCTAGAAATCGTCTCAAATCAGTGCATGTTCATGTTCTGTGTGTGGTGGCAGATACTCTGCAGCTTATGTTTTGCTGCATGCCTGCTGCGGAGCGGTGGGTGCAGAACCGATGCAGGGTGAGCAAGCACAAGCAGAGAGTGATGCTAGCTGCTACATGGCAGCCCCGTTTGTTCAGGGCTCAGGTGCAGGCTTGTGTGCGTGCTCTGTGTCTGTTGTCTCTTTCCTGTAACGGAATCCTCCTGCATTGTCGACAGCCGCGCAAAAGGATCAAACCTAAGGCTTGTACGCTGCACGAGTGCGCGAGAAACGCTGTAAGATGGTCTTGCTCGGCGAGTCCTTGTCGCTTCGGCCAGTCTGGCTTACACATCGAAGGATCATGGGCCGTCAAGGAACGTCAAGGATGTTGCCTTTACTGTGCAGAATCCCGGCTTCGGCTCACATGTAATTGTTGGCTATGTAGGAGCAGTAGGAGCGGCCCGACACACCTCGCAAGACAAGCGGCACATCGCCATGGGGGGTGCTGCGTCCCAAGACTGTCTGATTTGTCGGGTGATGTCTTACGTCTCGCCGGCCGACGGGCCTGTCTGAGGCCTTTCAGACCCTCGTTGTGCCAGCCATCCTGGAGGCAACATCTGCGCCTTTGTGTTGAGCTGCAGCTTTCTTTGTGGGCCTCTGAATCACGGATCAGTGTCCGCATGCCAATGCAACTCCCCCTCCCTGAAGAGGCCATTATTGGTATGTTCCTTGTCGTCCAAGCTAAAAAGCTGGAGCTGAGGCAAGACAAGGATCCGTCACGAGAGCATCATCTAAACCAGCACCACTTGATACTCAACGGGCGCTTCATGCAATGGCGTGATGCACAGGAGGGAAATGGTGTTACGGTGGTGGGCATTGCGGGTATGATTTTTGCCCAGGCCGTTGACTTTCCCGCTTTTGGGGTGGTGTTGTATTGACTTGCTACTTTCAACTTTGGATACCTGCCGCAGACCCTCATTGTCTTCGCAGCAAATCCGAGGCGCATTCCCAAGGCCAGATGGATGTGTGCGGAGGGCTTGTGCCGAGACTTGCATTCCTTCAGGAGGCCTTGATCCTGCTTAAGGCCAGGCAACCTAAATTTGCTTGCTCTGCCTGCAACGCAACCTTCTTCCTTTTTGCATTCTGTCTTGCCAGACGGCGCTTTGTGTGTTTTCTCTCTTTGTGATCGTCACCACAGCGGAGAAGAAGCAGATGTCGTGGGCATTCTGGCGGGATCCCTGCTAGCTCTTGGCTGCTCTCGGCTGGCTGTGACGTCCCATGGCTGGCAGGTTCATGTTCCTTCTATATGCCATCTCTGCGAATCTTGACTGAATCAGCAAGTTCCATTTCCTGAAGTTGGTTCCACATGGACTCAGAAGCAGCTAAGGGTGCCGGTCTGCATCACAATCTACAGTGTCTCACGACATGGCAAGAGCACCGATCGAAGCAGGCACGACTGGTTGCTTTTTGTGCTCTTCTGTTCTGGTTTTTGTTTTTGAAGCGATGATGTGGCTGTGGCTGTAATCTTGCGGCAGGCTCTGCTTTCCAATCACATCGCACATGTCACACAAGCACAAGTGTCACATGCAACGAGTCTCCGTCTTGGCAGGCTGCAGGAGCTTTCCCACAGTGAGCGTGCAGGGATGCATGGCCGATGGGGCTAGCGGACAGGGCAGCTCACTTTGTGCTTTCAGACTTTCAGACCATTTGGGACTGCGGGGCTTCAGCCTGCAGATTCCATGTAGCCGGCCAAAGACAGCCGCCAATCAACTTAAACTCCAGATTGACAAAAGAGCTTCTTTCTTGTGCATCCTTGCCTCCCGCTGCATTCCAAACCTCCCGATTCTCGCTTTGCAGCTCAAGTTTCTCACATCTGGTAGTTGGCTTCATCGCTGTATCATCAGCCCAGCTTTGCTGCAAAACTCCAGCATAACTCCAGATGAGAATCTTCAATAGACGTGCAAGGAGAAATGACTCGGTGTCTTAGTGCAAGCAGTGAGGATGATGCGAAAGAGCAGCAACATCCACCAAGATTGATATGGCCCACGATGCTGTGGCATCCGAGGAGGAAACGAAACTTTTTCGAAGCGTGACCTCGTACACATGACACTTGAGAAGCGGGACTATTGTGCAGGAGGCATGGCGTCGCTTCGACGAAGCCATAGAAGCACTGCGGTGTGCGAGGCATGCTGACCAGGCATCATCCAGATGAAAGCCTCTGCTGCGTGTGTCGCCCGGCATGGGCCGCTTGGCAGGCCAAAGCGCCTGACGACGAGCTGCTGGCCAATCTGGAGTCCTTGTCGGCACCCTTCAGGCACAGGATGCCGAGAAGCTCTGCGAAGCTGCAAAGCCTCGGCGCCAGGGGCAGCAGCCGAGTGGTCATCGTGAGCTCTGGTGGCAAATCAATTTTCGAGTTTGACTTCCACGTGCAGCAGTGCCCTGGCATATCTGCCACAGCATTGTGGATTCAGCCGAACTGCACTGGTAAGAAAACTTCCGAATGTTCTGCTTTGCTCGTCGTAGACGCAAGCACTGCAAGTTTTCAAACGGGATCCAGTCCAGGACTAGAAGAAACCGCAGAGAGATTTTTTGAGTTCTACAGTTCCTGGTGCTGATCGGGTTGGTGAACATATTCCCATTTCCTGCACATTCGAGTGCAAGGTCTTGTCATGGCTTCGTACACCACCACCACCACCGCCACCACCACCATCGCGACGGCTACGACGACGACGACGAGCACTACGACCAATACTTCTACTACTGCTGCTCCTACTACTACTAATTACTACTACTACTCCTCCTGCTGCTGCTGCTGCCACTACTACTACTACTACTACTACTACTACTACTACTACTACTACTACTACTACTACTACTACTACTACTACTACTATTACTACTATTTTTCAATTGAACGCTGAGCGAGCGTGCTCTGCGCTTTGCGGGCGCCTTTGCTCCCGTGCACTCGTGAAACATGTAATCTGCACGCATCTATCGCTCTTGATCCTCTCAATCTACTCAACATGGCTTAACTGTACATCGTTTGCCTCATCCTCCGCCACCCTGTTGTGACTGACGCGTCCGTCTGTTCACCTGTCTCAGCAAGTGGGTCGTACTTCAGCTGAATCCGGTGCCCTGAGTATCCGTCTAGTGGCGTCCCACACGGATTACTCATGCTGAAGACAGAAGGCCGTAAGGGTCATGTGCACGTACCTGCGTAGCAAGTGAGTCGCAGGCTGACAGGCAAGTGTCAACTCCTCCAGGCATAGCAGCATACATTTTTGCAAGCAAGGCAGGCTCGCTGTTCGCCGCTCCCGAAGAGATATGCAAGCGTCGGAAGAGCGCCGAATTCCCAGAGGCTGTGCCATACGGGATCAGGGAGTCTGTGACATATACCTACTTTCATTTGTTGTGACCCTTTGGCCACTGCTGTGAAGATTCGGAGTATCCATGCCAGGACCACTGTTGCCACCAGCTCCAATCGTCATCCTGGTAGGAGCTCGATGGTCTGGCCCATTGACTCGAGGAGGAGGAAGAGGGGGCTTCGCGCTGGCGTTTGCCCTCAGGATCTGCCTCACGCGCCTGTGGACGCTTATTGGGTGCGGAGGCAGCAGCCAAGCGAGCCATGCGCTTGTCTTCCTCAAACCCCTTGTCGTGCTGAATCCGCATCTTCATGATGGAGTGGGCATCTTTCATGGGTTTGAGTTTGAACATCCGCGCTGGAAGACCAGCTCATTTCGCTGCTTCGTTGTATACTGTCATAATGGATGTAGCGATCATGTTGAATTCAATCCTCGAGGGATAGTGGCGTTGAAATTCGGGCTCATCCCACATTCTGTTGAAGCATGCATGGATAAGACCATGCACCTTTGTGGGGGCATCCAACTCCTGGTAGGCTTCGCCAGAACCCGTGGCGATTGTAACCTTTCCATCGGCAGTGAGGACTCGGCGTACTGACATGGCAGTATCCCATGTGAGGCCTGTCTGCGTTTTGACCGACTTGATGGCTGAAAAGAGTGGCGGCACTTGGCGAAGTGCCTCTACCCGAGTAGCCCACAGATTTTGCTGCTCCTGGTTGGTGAGGCCACCGAGGATAACTGGAGCCACCAGTATATTGATAGATGCCAAGGCCCGAATCCAGTCTTGAAGAGAGGGCGAGCTCAACATTTGGGCTAGCTCGAGCCGGGTGTACTGGACAACAGTGGTAGGAGCAGGCTGCTGAACGTACCTGACTTTGCAGCATTCGGTCTGTTCGCTCCTTTGTGCCAGGATCTCCTTGAAATCCCTTGGACCACTTCCAGCATCTGGTGTAGGCCACCGTAGTGTGGTTGGCCGACACAAAAAGGTGGCCATCGTTGTCATAGGTCTTGTTCTTCACTCGCCTGTCCCAGTATTCTTGCAGGAGGTAGACTGGGCCAAACTTTCTGGATACGTTCCAGCCTGGCTGTGGTTTGTGACCAAGGTCTCTTCCCAAGATCTGCCAGAGAAATTTGCAGAAAATCATGTAATCCAGATTGGCCTTTGCTGTAAGAACCTGACGGCTGAAAGAGTGTTGAATGGCTTCCCTCATCAGGGGGTGATGAGGTTTGCCATAGATGATGCCCTGGAAAATGTGGTCCGCCTTGACGCCGATGGCCATGACAATGAACTCCTGTGGGAGCTGGCCAGGTGGAGAGGGTCTGTGATCCACTTCACCCGCCTTTTGAAAATGAGCTGTGCTCCAATCTGCCGCCATGAGTTGCAGTACCTGCTCCCAGGGCACCACAAATCCGCATTTAATGTCCAAATACAGGCCGCCGCGTTGGTAATGGTGGACATAGCGGAAAACGTCAGCCCGATGAGCTGGCTGACTGAGGCGATCCAGCAGATTGGAGCCATATTTCCCGGCAAGTCTGACCAGGGTGGAGCGGAGGAAGGCGTCATCGCAAAATTCCCGTGTGAAGCCTGCGAACATTTGGGCCGCGAGTTGCGCGGGCTCAGGCTTTTCATCATGCACGTAAGTCTGGAAGAGAACCTTCGGGACTGGGTTAGCAGCCAGCTCCGGTTGGTGCAGGAACCTCATGCCCCACGGCCCATGTCCGTACTGCGTGGCCACCTCAGAAAGTTTTCGTACTGTGCGGCATTTCGAAAGTGCCTGGGCTGCCAGCATTTCGACATGCATGTCTTGTTGCCTGGCATTCCACCCTGCAATCACTAGGATGGGCAGTCCTGGTCGGTGGCGCATTTCCTCAATGGCCCTGGTGACCAATGCTGGGATGACGATTTCTGCCACCTCGGGTCTGAAATGGAGATTCCTGGTGTTGTAGAGGAGGTCAACCCCTGGCAATTGTGCCAGGTCCATGATTTCCTGATGTGCCAGGTTTTTGTCCGCAAAGCCATATTGGACTCTGCCCTCGATCAAGAAATCGTACTGAATCTGCTTCTCCGGGAGTAGGCTTCGAGACAGAGGGATGAAACGTACATTGATCTGCCCGTCGAGGTGGTCCTCCAAGATGGAGGCCGCCGCTTGACTTTGGACCGCAGCGCTGAACCGCATAGGTCCAAACAGCCCAAATTGCCAGTGAAGAAGTTCCAGGATTGAAGGGACGCTTCCCGCAGAAAGATTCAGGGCTGCGCCTGGACAACTTAAGACCTGCCCCGTAGGCAGGGGAAAAATTCCGTATGCATGTCCCCGTAGCATGCGCTGCAGGGTGCTGTCACTGAGCACCAGGAAAGGCCCCAAGCTAGGAGGGGATGCCATGGACGCAGCCATGGTGTTACGGGGCCAGAGTCTGTGACACGCGGCCGAGATGTGAGCTGTGCTCTCTGCCTAGCAAGGACGAAAAAGCCTTCTAGAAAATCTAACTGTGGCTTCCAAAGACTTCCTTGCTGCAGAGTGTGGAGTGAGTTCAAGATGCAAGAGTGCAATGCCGACGATCTTTGAGCGATAGCTTCTGACAGCTGCGGTATCAAAGCTTTCGCACCTTGTGACAAGCTGCCTGACATGAAACATGGCTTCCACACAGATTGCTGTCATGTGCAGAGGGCACGCGAATAGCTCCAGGATCCGTAATCTGCCTCCTCTGACCTTAGTGAGCAGGAGTGCCATGAGGGAGGTATCCAGGGCTGCGGGATTGGCTGAAACAGCATGGCAGAGACTCGCCAAGTTTTGCCTCAAGCAGGAGGCCTTTCGTTACTGGCAGTAAAATAGAAAAAACTGGCGAGTGTCTGTGCCACACATGTTAGGAGGCTGTGCCATGTTCCTAGCTTGGAAACAAGCCGTCCGTCTGCTGTTTTCACTCTCAGGTGATGTCACCGCTGTCATTGGCAGAGTGTGCCCAGTGAACCTCGTTGTCCCTGCGGGCAGCACCAGCGTAACCCAAGGGACCTAGAGGGTTGCAGATCGTCTGCACCACGACGTGACGACAATGGTCTATATGAATGGTGATCTCCTCCGTAGCTAGGTATCTCTGCGGCTTGGCAAAGGACTGTACCATAACTGATACGTCCGACAGCAATGCAGCCCTTGCCGTAGCTGACCATTGATGTGGAGCTTGTGTTGCGCTAGGGATAGCACCGCTCTGCTCCAGCTCCGGTTAACTGCGGCCATGGAAATGGATGCGGAGAGGTTCGGGTGCATGACGGCTAGCCGGACATGCACCCCTTGTCTGTCGTAGTCCACGTCGTTATAGCGTTGGTCAAAGATTGCGATGCTATCGAAGGCGTGACTGTAAGCCCATTGGTGAGCTCTGGCATGGATCTGATCCCTTAGCTGAAGGATGGGACGTTGAGCGCTGTCGGGCACCTGCATGGTGGGGTCCATTTCCAACAGTTCGCGTGCCAGTCCTGCTGCGGAGTAGAAATCGACGATCACAGCGCTCGGGAGGATGAACGAGAGGGTTCGGCGGCATGATTCGGGGCAGAGCAAGGACATCGTCAGGGCTGTTGCTGTCTGAGCCTACAAGAACCGGTAATGCAATCGTGCAGGTGACCCGCTTACTAGCAAAGCCGCGTACCGCTTGGTTTTGAGGCACGGCACGAAGTACAGCATGGTCTGTGACCAGTGGGAGTGAGGCTGTGCCATCTTGCCTAGAGTGGGCTCCGCAATATTGAAACCGGGATTTGGTGGGCCAGCTGCGAATGCAGGCTCAGTGCTTCTCGTGAGAAGGTGCTCTCCTGTGCGGGTTTGACCTCAATGAAGACGTCGCCCCCAAGCTGGCGGAGATGAGCATACACACGCCATATCCCAATCCATGGTTTACCTGCAAGTAGTAGGGAAATCTCTCGACACCATGACCGGCAGACCGCTGCGAGACGAACTGCCAGTAGAAGATTCGGGATCACTATCCCCAGTTGAGCATGTACTCCTTGTTGATCAAGCTTGATGGTGTGGCCGACAATTGCGTACTGCACGAAGGGACTCGCGTCTGCCCATCGAAGAAGAGACGCCTGAAG